TTTGGGGAGAATGTTAGCTTCTAACGGAAGAATATGATTAGGTCTTTCCTATCAGAAGTAAATAAACACATTTTCTCTTTTTTCTCTTGACCCTATTCTTCCCCACAGTTCTCACACTCTCTTTTTCACAACCAAGTTAAAAAAAAAAAAGCCATCTTTCTTGAGGACTCCACCTCCTATTTTACTCTTCAGTACTACAATATGCAGACTTTCGCTCCCTACCTTTTCAGCAAAACTGCTTTTCTTAGGGTTACTAGTAACCTGTTTGCCAAATTTGGTGGACTCTTTTTAGCCCTTATTTTCAGTTCTCACAGCTCACAAGGTATTTGCAAATGCTCTCCTCTTCTATCTTCTTTGACTCCATACCCCCAATTTTTAACTGTCTCCATCTGCTCATTAGATTGTTAATGCTCCTAAGGTTCTGTTCTTCACCTTTTACTATTCACAATCTACCTAGATAATAACCTTGTCCACTGCCACAGCTTTAACTCCAATGTCTCCCAAGTTCTTATCTTCCTACATTTCTTTTTTGAGGACCAGGTTCATATTTTCATGAGATTGTTAAAGATCTGTACCAGAATGTTCCACTGTCCCCTAAAATGTGACACCTTACAAACTGAGCTAAATCTTCTGTATACTTTCCTGCTCTCAACAAATGACATCACCTCCTCCCAGTTCCTTGAATGAAAATCTGATTCTCATTCTCAACTTTTTCCTCACTTTATCCTCTTCTTTGCAATTAACTATCAAGTTCTAGCAATTCTGACTTTAAAAAACCTGCCATCTCTTAAGTGTCCATTAGTACTACATACTATACTAGGCATTTATTACATATTATCTGTCTCCTAAATGCCTCTAAATCCAATTTAATACCTCTTTTCATATTCCCATGGCTATTTTCATAGTAGGTATTCAATAAATATTTGATAATACTTAATTTTCAAGCCAGAAGAGCCAGTAATCTAGGAATCATCTTGGCTTCCTCCCATCTTTTCCTCCCTCAATCTTCGTGTCAGTCATTGAGTCCTGTTAGTTTGACTTCCTTGTCTCTATTTTTCATTCTCGCTCCCCATTCCTATTATGGGTTGAGTTTGTTCTCCTGGGTTCTGTCCCCACCACAACAAAGGATTGAAAGGCAGAGACACAATAGCAAAGGAGAGTGAGTTTTATTTGAGTACACTTCAAGGGAGGAGCAGGCCAGAGTCAAAGTAGACAAATGCCCCAGACTTATAGGGGAGGGTCTGTGTATCATGACCTAGTGAGAGACACTTCTTTGATTGATAGGGTGAGGTCATTTGATTGACAGCTTGAGTTATATACCCATTCCTCATGGTGCACCACATGTCTTTTCCCAAAATGCACACAAAGAAGTCCATGGGATGGGGGTAGCAAAACTGCAATTTTGTTTTAATGAGATTATGATGAGGTATGGTTTGGGTGATTCTCAGTTTGTTCAGTTACACCCATGTTGGTATCAGGTTGGGACCAGGTTAGCCTGGTCCAGAAAGGCAAGTAAGTTATCTCCCTGCAAAGCCTTTGTAGTTTTCATGGGGGTCCCCCTACCTGGGCAGAGTTGGAGCAGTTTTTTCCTTGAACCTTATCTTCCCCTTCTCCGGCTGCTCATGTCTTACCTTTCTACCTGCATTCCCATGATCACTGCATTTGTGTCAGCCTTCAAAATTTCTTATCTAGTCTATAAATGATTTTCTTACTTGTCTTCCTTTATTTGCCACTCCATCTTTTTCATCATCTATTACTGCTGCCCATATCTTTCTCAGATGTAATCTTGTCATAGTCAAGTTTAATTAGTCCCATCATCATCAAAAAAAAAGGTCAAACTCCTTAACATAGCACTCCTCCAGAACTCTGATTTAGAGCTTGCTTGTAAAATAAGCACCTTGCATATAACTTTCACTCAAGTCCTATCAAATTATTTGTACTTTCGGGAAATTCCCAACATTTTTACATCTCAGTGCTCTTTGATCTGTCTGGAATGCCCTTACCCTGATCCCCAATCCCAAATCATCCTTTAAGACTGATAAATATCACCCTCTTTTAGAAGACTTTTCTGATGTCTACTCTTACCAAGCAATTGGTGTCATTCCCCTGCACACCCCAGAAGAGCTTGTGCTTATCTTCATTATATCACTCTCTTCTTTCTTCCTGTTTAGTCTGTGAGCTCCTTGAAGTCAAGAACTGTGTCATGTTTCTAGTTTTTATTTTTGAATAAGAAGGAAAGAAACCAAGGAAGGAGAAAAAGAAAAAAAGGGAAGGAAATCAGTGGCTCAATTGACCCTCTGAATAGTGTGTAAAATTGCTAGGTATTTTAATGTTTTGTTTTTGTTTTTGTTTTTTTTTACCTTTATTTTAAATAGGAAAATGGAAAATACTTCTTTATCTCTATTAATCAGCCCTGCAACAAACTGGATAATGGTATCAGTGGTAAGGGTTTGAAGTGATAAATAAAAGTAACCAAGAAGGTAAATCACCAATTTGTTTACTCTCCCAAGGAGAGAGGACTGTACTTTATCTGTTGTTAATTGCTTTAAATGCTATAAAATGCTGTGTCACCTTCCAAGTTAACACCAAAATATGTTTATGTTGGTCTTTTCTCCTTATTAAGTATTACTACATTATTTGTAGTGAATTTTTCAGATGCCACGTGGAATGTTCCAGCTATCTTTATAGTTCTTTTGATTCCCCAAACTTCTCTAAGACAAAGCATAAACCCAGTTGTGGTGCAGTAGTAGAATTCATTGTCACTCAGCAGCACCTTTAGTTCCCATGCTATTTCTATTAATGAAAAAAATCTCCTTCATGGAGGATCCTTAATGATAATGCTTTGGTTATATCTTATTATAGGGCATGTTTTACAGATATAATCCAACAAATACTCTTATCTATTTTAACAGTTGCTTGGTCATAAAATATCATATCTGCTTAATTGACGATCATTTGTTTTGTGGGTGTGAAGTGTATCTGAGTTCTTCTCAGTTATTCAGTTCTGTTTTCACATAGTCGTTTTCAGCTATTCTCATCTTTTCCATCTCACACATTTCAACCAGGTCCTTCAAAGGAAAATGGCAAAAACTCATCAAGCTTCAGAACTACCAATCAGCATATATATGTATACGTAGGCAGAAAAATATGCTGGAGAAAAGGGGTAGAGGTGATTCAGAGCTTTTCATTTAGAGGCTAGTCATCTGTTCTCTTTTTATTATGAATGTGGAATAATGATTTTTACTAGGGCATAACAGCTTGTATAGCTTGTCAGGATTATTATAATGGAATTTTTGCTTGCAAAGTCAACACATCGTAACTGCAGCTAAATGATATAATATTAATATTTTTTTTGATATATCCTAAGCCTATTTTCTGTCTTGTATACACAATTTGTGTGTATGTGTGCACATGTGTGCTTATTTTAGCACAACAAAAAAACACTCTAAAATGAAAATAAAAGTGTGGGTCGTCATAGTGTACAACTGTGGGTTTTTAGAAATTCCTTCTTGCTGGGATCCTATGTATAATTGAGAGCACTAAAACTGTTCCAAGTTGAGTTTGTTCTCAGTTCTTGTCCCTGATGAAACAAAGAATTGAAAGACAGAGGTACAATAGTGAAGCAGAGTGAAAGTTTTACTTGAATACACTCTCCCGGAGGAACGGGCCAGTCAAGGTAGACAAAGACCCCAAACTTTTAGGGGAGGGTCTATTTATCTTGTCCTAGCTGGGAGGTGAATCTTGGACTGATAGGGTGAAGTCATTTGATTGACAGGTCTAGTTATGCACTCATTCCTCCTGGTGTGCTTGTCTTTTCACAGAATGCACACAAAAAAGCCCATGAGGTGTGTTTGTGTTTGTGTGGTGTGGGTGGAAGCAAAACCACTGTTTTATTTTAATGAGATTATGATGAGGTGTGGCTTAGGTGGTTCTTAGTTTTATTGGATTGTACCCCCCTGGGATCTGTTTGGGACTGGTTTGGCCTGGTCTCATAGGCAAGGAAGTTATCTCCCTGAAAAGTCTCTATTGTCTTCAAGTGGGAACCCTAACTCGCAGTTTTTACCTTGACTCTTATCTTTCCCTTCCCCAGCTGCTCCTATCTTTCTACTGAACAAAACCACCTGCTAGGAATATTCCCACCAACTTAATCCACATCTGACTAATAAAATGATTCTTCAGAAGCTTAACTTGGAAAACAGTGTGGGAGAGAAAAGAGGATTCTTTCTTGACAGGTTCAGTTTATGTTAGAAAGACCAGAATGTTTGTTTTTTTTTTTACTCTCAGAAATTCAGCTATCTTTAGCTTTTCTGGTTATATTTTATTGGTCAGTTACTTGGAGTAAATAATATATAATATCCTATGCAAGGTCTTTCTTTGTAACCATACACAAATATAGATTCTACACATGGCACTGTGGTAATTACATAAATTTTCTTTCAGAAACTCAGATCAAGTTAATGCAAAGGAAAATAGGTATTAGGTTTTAAGCAAATCTAGATTGTCTACCTGAAATGGCAAAACTCCAAGGCTGGACTTCTTTGAGAAGAAATGGGTCAGAATGTGATAACAGGAATAATTGTCTTACTATATCCAAGTCTTATGTACCATAGTGAGAAATTTGACGAGCAGCTGCTGCTTATATTGGACAACAGGGTGAGTGTGTCTTGGGTCAGATTACCAAGCTTCTTAAAGAGAGGTATATATTAGATGATTTTTAAAAATAATTAACATTGTTATGGCTTGTGATTCAGTAAACCTCTTTGAGTTAAATGTCTTCTTTTTACTGGGCTTCTAATTACTTGCTGAGACACTCAGTAGCTATTGAAGAAGCCACTCAGACTCAAACTGTGTTTGTTCTTTGAAATTGAGTTCTGTCTATCTTCCACATACTAGCATAACGAAAAGACACTTAAATTCACTTGCTGGTGAATTTTTCCTGTTGGTTTTCAATCTGGCATTTCACTTAATTCTTTTTTTTTTCTTTTGTTCTTTCTTTACAGAACTTCCTTATGGCTGGGAGAAAATAGAGGACCCTCAGTATGGCACATACTATGTTGAGTAAGTTTGTTACCTCTGTTAATATTCCTCCAAGTGCTTTTCTTTCATTATGCAGCTGGAGGGAATACTGAATACAGCACTTCATGCTTCTGCAATCCAGCTTTCAAGTGTTTTCCACTAGGGGAATGAGAAGGTAGAGGCAGTGAGCATTACTTCACTGACTCTGGGCTCTCCAGCAGTTGGCTTTGAAGTACAGAAAGCTAGAGGGAAGTTGCCCAAATGATTAAAAGCTGGAGATGTTATCATCACCACTATAGCCTCTAAAGAGCAAGCTTCAGTAGGTAGAAAACTGTGAAATGAGGGCATTGTACTGGATGAACCATTCAAGTCATTTCCAACCCTACAGTGGTATGGTTCTGAAAGCAATAAAAGGACTTTAAGGGCAGTCCACCATAATGTTCAAAATTTTGAAATGTATGATTAAAAGTGTTAATTTTTAAGGAGTTAAGGAAGAGTTAGTATTCTCTTTGGGAGTGAAAAGTTCCTTCTTTCTCAGCTGTTATGGTTAAACTTAAACATAAATATATGTCAGAGTAGAGCACCAAACCCCTGCATACATTAGCCAGCGAAATTAGGATAACGTCAACTTCTTAATTTTTCTTTCCCTTTCCTTCATTTACCTAATTGCTACATTGTTATGACCACTGGGATTGCTTTTTTCCAAATGTTATAGATAGAATTTTAATATCAGGCATCTAGCACCAGACAAATAATTTCACCAGAAATGTTACTTTTTACCTGGAAACCAGAAGTCTGAACCTACTGCTTAGGTAGTAAAGGCAAAATGATATTATTACCTGGAAAAAATGGCAAAGATGAGAATCTTCTATTTTTCATCAGTTGTTGGTATACACAAAAAATACTACTTCCTGGTATTATCCTTAAAGTAAGTATCTCTGCCTTCTGTTGTAACTCTGGTCTTTATTCTAATGTGTAGATTGTTACTTGAGTCACTGTGGTCAGAGAGATTTCTGGAATGCTTTCTTAGAATCTAACTTGTTACCCCAAGAAAACAGCTCAATTTGACTCATAGGCATATAATTTCAGAGTCAATATTTTGGTTCCATTGAAAGGTTGTGCTAATTTTATGTCCCATTGTATTACTAAGTATCTCACTGAATTGTGATGTGAAAAGTGTACAGCAGCTGGAACAACCATTTTTTCAAGTCAAAGGAATATTTGAAGACCAAATGAAAAGGTTTTGTGGGATTTTTTCCTAGTAACCTATTTAAATTTGGCTTCAGTCAACCATTATTTGCCCCTGACACTGCTGAAAATTTTAAGAGAATGACTCTCACTCTCTTACTCTTCATTCCAAGTGAATATGAATACATGGTCAAGAGGTGAAAGTCATGTGCCTATAATAAAATCTTGGGCTAAATGATCTGGTTCCTTTAAGCAAGGATATAATATTGAAACAACATTAGGGCAATCTTGAAGCTGCCTGCTCCCAGTTGTCGTAGAGGTATGTGAAGTCGCCTGAATTAGGAACAGCAGCAGTGACATGATTTTGTATGATTGGTCCCAAAACGAGCTCATTTTACAGGAGGATAATTTATTAGTTTAAGAAAGAGCAGGCTGCTTCCAAAATGCACATTAGTATGGAGTCAGCTGAGCTGTGGAGTGTGGCTTGACTCCCAGGTTAGTTAGGTTTTGAATCTCAACCATAGTAATCTGCAGTGAGTTTACTGATAGAGATAAAAAGCTGTGACTTAAATGACTACTCTTTGGCGCTCTCAGTTTGTCAAACCAGATGGCACAATTATTGTTTTTGGCAGGAGTCTTGTAAGTAGTAACACCAACTTCAATGGTAGGTTTTCTTTGTAAGTATTCTTTTAGATAATGAGATTCTGAAATGGATTCGTTTTTAAAAATAAAATTTTTCCAAATATTTAGTGGCAGGCCTTCCATAAGAATGCTTATGTACTTAGAAATGTTGTCTTATTGTATTACAGTAATATCCTGGTGTACTTAGGTGACAAACTGACAAAGGTGACAAAATACACATTATCTTTAATATCTTAAATTCTTCATGGATGAATAATGATTTTGTTTGTTGAGATAAATTTTTGAAGTCTGCCTGTTATATACAAAATTGTAATATAGTGAGAATCTAAATTATCTTATTATATATTTAATCATGCTTGTTTCCTATCCTTGTTTAGTTTTTCTGATAATCTGTCGCCTCCTCTTACTTCCCATAGCTAGTCATGTGGAAAACAAAATCTGTTACATCTTAATAATATTGTAGATATAAGTAACTAAATGAAACCAAGACTATTTTTACTCTATTTTGTTCTGTTCTTTGGGTGGCATTTTAATTTAGGTAGTCTAAGGTGACAGTTGCAATTACCCCCCTCACTAAAATCTTATATTCTTTTGTCAAAGAATTTTCAGGGAAGAGATTACTCATTTGCATACTTCTACTCTCTTCTCCCACACATTATGAAGAATATAAATACAAATTACTACTTTTTGTGTTCTAATGCCTGGGTGACAAAGTGAGTCATTCTAGCTGATGATGTTAAAGTGAGCTGAGATTCTTTCCAAACAGGTTTATTTTTTTCTAAGTGTCAGTTTCAAGTCGTTTTGTTTTTTCAAGAATATGTAAAATGTCAGTACCTAATAAATAATTTTTAAAATGGCACCTAACTTAACACCAAAGACCTTCATTTTCACAGAGAGTTACATAGTTAATTAAGTCAGTTGTTAAGGTGCTCCTCACAATAAGGAGCAGAAATATACTTAAGTTTTTGTGAAATCAAAATCCAAAGAATGTCAAGTAGAACTTGCCATATTTTGAGCTCTGAGACTAAATACCTACAGTTGTGGCAGGGTTGGTGGTGCACTGGAAGCCCGGACAACAGAGAGAAAGGTAGCATACCTTGGTTTGCTCTCTGCTGCCTCCGCCTCCACCACCACTATTTATGTTCACAAAGAGTGAAGTAATTATCCAGTTGCATGATTCTTTATGTGTAGGTTTTGTAATAGTCAACCTCTCTAAAGATGATCATAATCTGAAATTCTCATAATTTAATATTTAATTGTTGGTATTCACTAATGTCATTTCTTATTAAAATGGATTCTACTGGAAAATGCATGTCATTGGGCTGAAACGTGTTTATACTCTGTAAGTGCTAGAATATAATTCTCATTGCTCCTGTATTAAACCTGTTGGTGGTCTTAATCATCTTTTTTACAATAGTTGCAGTCCTAACGAACTTCTAATTAACTGACTTGCAAAAAAAAACCAGTGCTCTTCCTTCTGTAAAACATGCTATTGGCTGTAGTGTAGTGACTGTGATTGGCTAATTGGTTAGCTCTTAGTCTCCTCACATTTTTCTGCTTTTCCCCACAGACTTGTGTGCTATCAAAGCCAGCTCAGCTGTGAATGCTCCCAAATAAGAACTGCCAGATGAACTTGTGTTGTAATTACATAACTTACTTAGTTATTGCATAATTAAGAAGAAGTGTTTAAGTGTGGGAAAGTTCCCTGATACAATTTGATAAAAGCAAATCTTTCTCAGTTGCCTAATGTGGTTGAGTCAGTTGAAAAAGTAACAGTAAAATTTTAAAAGCCTTCTGTAATGAGATTTCCTCAAAAGTGTCTTTACAACTGCTCCATTTTAAAGAAACTCAAACTATCATTAACTGCCTTAAAAAAATTAACTGATCAATTACCAATAGTACTGATTGCATTAGATGTAAGGGCTTCTACTGTGGAAGTTTAGAAAACTGTCATTGGCTGTATTTGGTACATTTGTGAAAAAGCTATAGTGAATGTTTTAGCAGCTTTGACTTCTAGGCATCTTCTGTGAGCTTTTTTTTTTTAGTTGCCAGAAAACCCTTCCACTACTATCTTTCAGCTTCTCTGTGTTCTTCCGTAGCCCAGAGACACAAAATCTGTTCCCTAAACTGTGGTGATGAAATGGCATAAATAGTGTATTTAAAAATACTGTAACAATTTTACGTGAAACTGAAATGCATATTTTTCTACATTTCACAGTCACCTTAACCAGAAAACGCAGTTTGAAAATCCAGTGGAGGAAGCCAAAAGGAAAAAGCAGTTAGGACAGGCTGATATTGGGTCTTCAAAACCAGGTAGAACTTTTTCCTCAATCTTTTCCTCTAAGAATGACTTGTTAAATTTGCATGCTGAATTAATAAAAGTGAGTTTGAACTTGTTATTGTTAGGGCTTTAAATTCAACAGAGAGTGTCCTATTTTTGTTACTGTGAAGATATGCATAATCTCAATAAAATGTCTGAACATTTTAAGAATACTAAGATATTTCTTTCTCATGCTGCACATGTAGAAAGTAGGATATTGTTAAGAGAAGGAATTGAATAGCTTAGTTATGGGTTGGAGGTTTTGATGTGAAGATTTCATTGTTTCATAATGCTTAAGGGCAGGCCAGTATTAGATCTCTAATTCATTATGATCTTCTCCCAAATTAATTGCTTAGATTTAATGTCAGTAACCATTAAGGATTCTTCATTCACTGATATGAACAAATAGTAAATAAATCCACCATATTATTTGCCTACATCATTGGGCATCTAAGTGGGATAGTAGAGTATTAGTAATATCAAGATCACTTGGAGAACATTTAAAAAATATGGAAGTCTGAATGCACCTCAGGTATAAGAAACCAAGTGAGGGGGAGAAAGATGGTGGCATGAGAAGTGAGGCAGAAATCTCCTCCCAAAACCACATATAACATGAAAATACAGCAAATACAACTGATCCTCAAAGAGTGACCAGAAAGAAGACTATAACAGATGGCTTACATCTGGGAAAAAGAGAAGACCTCATGGAAAAGGGTCAAGTAGCAAAGCTGCAATCTGGCAGGACCCAAGCCCTCCTCCCACCCCAGCTCACCAGCAGGAGGAAAAGAAACAGAATGGGGAGAGGGTAGAAGACCAGGACTGCTAAATACCCACCCATGGAGATCTACTCCAGGAGCATGAACCCACATTACATGGTGCTCTGGAGATTAGAGGGATTGGAAAGCAGCACAGAATACTTGGAGAGACTGAGATTCCGGCTGCTTGTGGAGAACAGGTAAGCACAACCGGCCACTCTGGGACAAAAGAAGGGCAGGCACTTTGAAAGACTTCCCAACAGTGAGAGGGCTGTGAAAGCAGCAAGGATTACACAGAGCTTGATGCTCAGGAGAAAGGACAGGTGGACAAAATTGTCCTGGCACACTCAGCCCAGCAGGTTGGGAACTTTCAGGCGCTCCATCCCCCTGGCTATCAATACAGCCCTGAGGCCCCCAATTGCGTTACACAGCATGCCACTGCTTCCTCCTGGCCGGCACCAGTTCACAAAACTGCTGGCCCTGTGATCATGCCAGGCCAGCCACAGGGAGGCTGCGCCTATGGCCGCTACAGGAGCGTAACACAGAGGCTGCTTCCTGCACACTTGGCCCACTGGCCCTGGCAGTGGAGGCAGGCACTGCAGCTGGGAAGCAGGAAAGAGCTCTTTCCTCCTGGTAGGCACCAGCCCAACTTGCCTGCAATCCTCACCATCACTGCAGGGGCTGGGCAGCTCCAGAGAGGAGAGCTTCTGGGCCCTAGAGAGTGCAACCTACACAAAGTTGTTATTCTATACTGTTTCATCGTAGAAATATGAAGCGGCAAAAAAACTTATTCAATCCCAAAATCCCTGAAGCCCCAGAAAGAGGGCTCACTGAAACTGAAATCAACAATTTTCTTGATAAAGATTTCAAAATAAAAATCATAAACATGCTGCCAGAAAAATATTCAAAATCTCAGGGACAATCTCAAGGAAGATAGAAACTTTGAAAAATACATTACCTAAAATGAAACATAGAATGGAGGGATTTGAAAGCAGTTTACATGGGGTAGAGGAGACAGTAAATGGAATAGAAACTAGAGAACAGGAATACAAAGGTGCTCAGGCAGAGTGAGAAAAAAGGATCCCTAGGAATGAAAGAATAGTAAGACAATTCTGTGACCAATCCAAACATAATAATATTCAAATTGTAGAAGTACCAGAAGAATAAGAGAGAGAAAAAGGGAGAGAAAGTCTCTTTGAGTAAATAATTGCTGAAAAATTTCCAAATCTGGGGAATGAAATAGTCTCTTGGCACATGGAGGTACACAGATCTCCCAACACAAGGGACCCAAGGAAGACAACACCAAGACATATAGTAATTAAAATGGCAAAGACTGAGGCCAAGGGCAGAGTATTAAAAACAGCTAGAGAGAGAAAAAAAGATCACCTACAAAGGAAAACCCATCAGGGTATCATCAGACTTCTCAACAGAAACCCTACAGGCCAAAAGGGAGTGGCATAATATATTTAATGCAATGAAACAGAAGGGCCTCCAATCAAGAATACTCTACCCAGCAAGAATATCATTTAAATTTCAAGCCAGGATTAAACAAACAATTTCCAGATAAGCAAAAGTTGAGGGAATTTACCACCCACAAACCATATCTACAATGTATTTTAAAGGGACTGCTCTAAATGGAAGTGCTCCTAAGGCTAAATAGCTGTCACCAGAGAAAATAAAACCACAATAAAGGAAGTAAAAAAATTAATTACTAAGCAAATGCAAAACTAAATCACCTACCCACAAAGTCAGTCAAGCAATACACAAAGATAACAATATGAGACCTAATGTATAAAGAGTAGAGGAGAAAGAAAAAGAAGAAAGAAAAAAAGAGCCTTTATATTGTGTTTGTAATAGTGTACTAAACAAGTTAAGTTAGACTGTTAGATAGTAAAGAAGCTGCCCTTGAACCTTGGTAACCTCGAATCTAAAGCCTACAATGGCAATAAGTACATATATATCAATAATCACCCTACATATAAATTGACTGAATGGACCAATCAAAAGACACAGAGTTACAGAATGGATAAAAAAGCACAACTCGTTTATGTGCTGCCTACAACAGACTCACTTCAAACCAAAAGACATACACAGACTAAAAGTGAAGAGATGGAAAAAGATACTTCATGTAAATAATAGGAAGAAAAAAGCAAGAGTTGCAGTACTTCTTTCAGACAAAATAGACTTCAAAAGAAAGAAAGAAGAGACAAAGAAGGACATTACATAACGATAAAGGGGTGAGTCCAACAAGAGGATATAACCATTATAAATATCTATGCAACCAACATAGGAGCACCCAAATATGTACAGCAAATACTAACTGAATTAAAGGAGGAAATAGAATGTAATACATTCATTCTAGAAGACTTCAGCAGTCCACTCACTCCAAAGGACAGATCAACCAGACAGAAAATAAGTAAGGAGACAGAGACACTGAACAACACATTAGAAAGATGGACCTAACAGACATCCACGGAACACTCCACTCAAAAGCAGCAGGATACACATTCTTCTCATGTGCACATGGAACATTTTCAAGAATAGACCACTTACTAGGCTACAAAAAGAGCCTCAGTAAATTCAGAAGGATTGTTATTCTACCAACCAACTAACTACTAAGACTACAAAGGTATGAAACTAGTAAAAAATTTTGCAAAGAAAACAAAAAATCTCACAAACACATGGAAGCTTAACAACATGCTCCTAAATAATCAATGGATCAATGACCAAATAAAAAACAGAGATCAAGCAATATACGGAGACTAATGAAAACAACAACTCAACACCTCAACTCTCTGTGGTGCAGTGAAGGCAGTTCTAAGAGGAAAGTATATCGCAATTCAGGCTTATCTAAAGTAAGAAGAACGGTCCCAAATGAACAGTCTAAATTCACGATTAATGAAACTAGAAAAAGAACAACAAATGAGGCCCCAAGTCAGTAGAAGAAGGGACATATAGAGATCAGAAATAAATAAAATTGAGAAGAATATAACAATAGAAAGAATTAAAGAAACCAGGAGCTGGTTCTTTCAGAAAATAAACAAAATAAATAAACCCCTAACCAGACTTAACAAGAAAAAAAGAGAGTGTACACTCATAAACAGAATCAGAAATGAGCAAGGAAAAATCACTACAGAAATCACAGAAACACAAAGAATTATTAAAGAATATTATGAAAAATTATATGCTAGGAAACTGAATAACCTAGAAGAAATGGACAACTTTCTAGACAAATACAACTTTTCAAACTGACCCAGGAAGAAACAGAAAATCTGAAAAGACAATTACCAGCAATGAAATTGAATTGGTAATCAAAAAGCTACCTAAGACAAAACACTCTGGACCAGATGGCTTCACTGCTGAATTTAATCAAACATTTGGTGAAGACCTAATACCCATCCTCCTTAAAGTTTTCCAAAAAGTAGAAAAGGAAGGAGTACTTCCAAACCCATTCTATGAAAACAGCATTACTCTACTACCAAAACCAGGCAAAGACACCAAACACACACAAAAAATTACAAACCAATATCCCTGATGAACATAGATGCAAAAATACTCAACAAAATATTAGCAAACTGAATTCAAAAACACATCAAAAAGATCATCTATCATGATCAAGTGGATTTATTTCAGGGATGCAAGTATGGTACAATATTCTTAAATACATCAACATCATCCACCACATCAACAAAAAGAAGGACAAAAAAAATCAGATGATCATCTACATAGATGCTGAAAAAGCATTTCACAAAATTCAACATCCATTCATGATAAAAACTCTCAACAAAATGGGTATAGAGGGAAAGTACCTCAACATAATAAAGGCCATATATGACAAACCCACAGCCAACATCATACTGAAGAACAAAAACCTAAAAGCTTTTCCAATAAGATCGGGAACAAGAGAAGGATGCCCACTCTCCCCACTTTTATTCAACATAGTACTGGAGGTCCTAGCCACAGCAATGAGATAACACAAAGAAATAAAAGGCACCCACATTGGTAAGGAAGAAGTTAAACTGTCCCTGTTTGCAGATGACATGATATTATACATTAAAAACCCTAAAGAATCCACTCCAAAACTACTGGAACTACTAACTGAATTTAGCAAAGTTGCAGGATACAAAATTAATGCACAGAAATATGTTGCACTCCTATATAGTCATGATAAACTATCAGAAAGAGAATTCAGGAATGTAATTCCATTCACAATAGCATCAAAAAGAATAAAATACCTC